GAAGCAGAGAGTTAGACTCAAGTCTAATTCTAAAGCACCTGCTCTTTACCACTCAAATGGCTTTTTGTTGACCTGCCTAACCCAACATCTTTCTTTTTATTCCCCCTACCAAGGACTGAGGAAGAGAAGAAAGACTGGGTCCAGGTAACATCAAAGACACCTCTGTGGTAGAGGGCTGGAAAAGCATTAACAGGTCTCCTAGGGGTTGCTGGACTCTTTCCCCCAAAACTTATATATGACCTGAATGGGCCTGGACACCTGCCTTCCAACAAACTTCAACATCTCCATTTTATAGATAAGCAAAGCAAACTGAGGTCCAAAGGTTAAATGGAAACTCAAAAATTCTTTTAGAAAGCTGGTTCCTCTGAAGGTGTAATCCCAGCAAATCAAGCCCTATAAAACTTTAAGGTCAGACAGTGGTAAGGAAGGCTGCCTAAGGCTTTTCCAACAGTTTTCCCTCCTTCATGTTATCATGTCCAGCCTGGTATGGAAGAGGGATCTGCTCAAGGTTGTATGTCTGGCAGGGGCCGAGTTGGGCCTAGAACTCAACTGTCCTGACTCCAGGATAGGGCATAGGAAGGTGAGGTGAGGGTGGAAATGGGTGGCTTGTGGGATGATCTGACCTCTCACTATCATCATACCTTGAACCAGGCCATTAACTCCACCCTCCTAAAGCATGAACAGACTCTGGAGACCTTCAAACTGTTGAACTCAACAAACAGAGAAGATGAAGACACCCCCCCCAACTCTCCAGTAAGTGTTCCCACCATCTCCTGCACTGTGACACCCTCCAGGCCTCCAAGTTCCTACTTTCCTGAGAGATGATCCTTTGTGGAAAGTAAAGTCTTCTGTTGGCAGAGACTTGTAAAAATCATTGTGGAAACCAAGGCCAAACATACAAAAATGACATTATCTTCAATAACATAGTATTGCTGGGTGTGGTGGCACATGCCTGTAACCCCAGCACTAGAGTTTAAGGCCATCCTGAGCTTCATAGTGGGTATAAGAGCAGCCTGAACTATATAGTGAGATCCTGTCTCTAAACACAAAACAAAACAAATGGGGGGGGTGGGTATATAGCTCAGTGCAAAGACCCTGATTGAAATCCCTAGTACTGTACTAAAACCAGTGTTAACACATCAAGGTAAGAGCAGCCAGATTCAAAGGAAGACCTTCTAAATGTGTCTGCTGCCCCACCACCACCAGTGATAATCTAAAACTTGGGGCAGATGGAAGGGCTGCCTGTACTGGGCTGAGAAGCTGTTTCTGACCAAGGATGTGGCTCTTCCCCTAGAATGTAGATCTTGGGAAGCGGGCACCTACACCCATCCGGGAAAAGGAAGTCACCATGTGCATGCGCTGCCAGGAGCCCTTCAATTCCATCACCAAACGCAGGCACCACTGCAAGGCCTGTGGGCATGTGAGTATTGGGAGGTGTGGCACAGCCAAAGAGGGCACAGGCTGACAGCTCAAAGGCCTGCTTCTACGTGGGCACCCTCCAAAGGGAGAAGCTGCAAGTCTGTTGTGGGAGTTGGTTAGCTGAGTGGAAAGGCCTGCTAGAATCAGGTTACTCTTGCCCACTTGCCACCCCAGGTGGTTTGTGGGAAGTGCTCCGAGTTCCGGGCCCGCCTCATCTATGACAACAACCGATCCAACCGTGTGTGCACTGACTGCTACGTGGCCTTGCATGGGGTGCCCGGGAGCAGTCCAGCCTACAGCCAGCATACACCCCAGCGCCGGAGATCCATCCTGGAGGTAAGAGCCAACCAACAAACTACCCCAAACATGGGCCCCATCCATCTATCCAGTGTAACTGAGGAAGCCTGAACATCTCTCAAATAGTAGGATGCTGTGTGTGTCCACTGATGCTTTGACTCAGACTTAGAGTAAATTGAGTGCATGAGTGAATGAAAAGCAGTAAATATTAAGTGCTTTACTCAAATAGTCCTCATAGGAACTAATGTACCAATCAGGAAAATGATACCCAGAGAGGTTATCTGTCTAAATTACCCAGTCAATGAGTGACAAAGCTAAGTTTCTGTGTGTGTGTGTGTTTAAGGTTTTGCCAAGGGCCAGGGATTTAGCTCAGTGGCAATGTGCCTGCCTAGCAAGTGCAAGGTCCTGAGTTCAACCCCCAGCACCACAAAAAAAAAAAGTTCTGCCATGCATGGTGGCACATGCCTACAAATCCCAGTACTCAGGAGGCTGAAGCAGCAGGATCACCAGGAGTTCGATGCTAGCCTGGAGCTACATAATTTTGAGGCCAGCCTAAACTACATAGTGAGACCCTGTCTCAAAATAACAAAAAATTTTTTTAAAATTTCCCCCTTGTACTAAAGATAAATCCAGGGCCTCTGCACTGAGCGACATCCCCAGCACTAAAGTTGCCTAGGCTGGGCTCAAACTTGGGATCCTTCTACCTCAGCTTCTCAGAGTGCTAGGATGACATGTATGCACCACTACACTCAGCTAGTTTGTTTTTGAGACCAGGTCTTGCTAGGTTGCCCAGACTGACCTTGAACTCCTGGGCTTAAAGCAATCCTCCCAATGCAGCCTCCCCAGTAAATGGGACTACACTGCTTGGCTCTAAGCTATTTTTAAATTAACAAATTGCTTTTTATTACCAAGTAGGCTAAGTAGGATAACATAAACAAAAAATAAAACTTTATGTTCCTTCTGCCCAGAAGTTTCCACTGCTAACAGTTTTCCTTCCTCTTTCTAGGAACATGTGCATGCACACATTTTGAGGTTAAATAAATGCAGGTATTTATTTAACATTTAGAGAGTTTACTCTGTGCCAAAAGCCATTCTACATGCTTTGGGTATAATTCATTTAATCCTCACAGCAGCCCTGTTCTCTCCTTCCAAGTTTACATTTTCACCTAGAACTGGAATTCTGAGCCAGACTGCATTAACTACCTGCCCTCCCCTGTTAAACAATGCTAGATTGACTTTCACTTAGTGTAGGCAATGGATACGATGAAAGATGAAAAAAGGTGAGATAATGTGTGAATGACCTCAAGAATAAACAGGCTGACTGAAGGTGTCTGGCTGGTACTTGGATGCCCCTGCTGAAATCTGTAACTCCTTTTTCTGACTTGTAGAGGCAGCAGCCATGGCCCAAGTCAAGCAGACAAGCCTAGCTTTGAATCTCAACTCTATCGGGTAACCCTAGGCAGATCATTTCTGCAACCTGAATTTCACTGTCTTCATCTGAGACATGGAAGGCTATCGTATACTAAGATGCTAGTTAAGCCAAGAAGAGCTATGCTAGGCCTTCTCTCAACATTGACCTCCCCCATGTCTCTGGCCATAGAAACAGGCCTCTGTGGCTGCAGAGAACAGCATCATCTGCAGCTTCCTACACTACATGGAGAAGGGTGGGAAAGGATGGCACAAGGCATGGTTCGTGGTCCCTGAGAATGAACCCTTGGTGCTGTACATCTATGGAGCCCCTCAGGTATGTATTCTACTCCTTTGGGTCCTTTCGGCCACCTGGAAAAGCCAGACTACCCCATTTCCCTCCAGTCCTTGACTCTGGGGATAAGAAAAGCCTAACTCTACCTTAGGGGAAATCAGAACCACTACCCTTGTATGACAAGACTGGATAGACAAGGACTGACTGTATGCCAAGGCATGTAGGGAAAAACAGATGAATTTGGGGAGCTGGATTTTTAAAGAAAATAGGAATGGAGGAGCAGTAGCCTAAATATCTGAAAACATTAGAGACTGGCCCAGCTGGTTTTGGGTGTGCGATGAGTTGGTATATGAACCAGCCTGGATTCTAGCCCCAGTTCATTTTCCTAATAACACAAGGAATGTACTTGAGCAGAGAGGAAGGGAGGGGAGCAGATTCAAAATCATTAGAAGCTAGGCAGAAAGTTCAGCCCTCAGGTGACCCCCAACTCTGTCCCTCTTCCTTAGGATGTGAAAGCCCAGCGCAGCCTGCCCCTCATTGGCTTTGAGGTGGGGCCTCCTGAGGCAGGGGAGAGACCTGACAGAAGGCATGTCTTCAAGATCACCCAGAGCCACCTAAGCTGGTACTTCAGCCCTGAGACAGAAGAGCTCCAGCGGCGCTGGATGGCTGTGCTTGGCCGGGCAGGCCGTGGGGACACGTTCTGCCCAAGGCCCACGCTGTCTGAGGACAGGGAGATGGAAGAGGCCACGGTGGCTGCTTCAGGAGCCACTGCTGAGCCGCTTGAGACCCCCCAGACCCGAGATAAGACCTAGAGGGTTAGGGGGGGCTGGAGCCCCAACCCCATGTTCTAGTTGCCCATGTCCAATAGGGGGTTCCAGACCCCTCCCTCCCAGCTCAATCAATACTTGAACTCCCATCACGGGCACTTTCAATCCCGAATGCTGGGTCTTGGGTTTTTTAATTAATCTTTTCACAAAACGTGGGCTTTTAAAAAATATTCATACATCGATGTTAATTTTTTAAAAATCCTGTCCCCAGGGAAGGTGGAAGCTACTGCTAGACCCACCTGAATTAGTTTTTTTTTAACCCCATCCCCCAACACTCCACAGATCCTGCTTCTACCCAATTACCCCCAAAAGCATCAGAGGCAGAAGACCTGGATTCAAGTGCCAGCAAGGCCACTGACCCTGGGGCCCTGACTCATCCCTGCCTCCTCAGCCAGTGTCTTCACATGTATGACTCTACATGGGGGGGTAACTAAAGCCCTCTTGCCTCTCCCATGGCTTATAGCTTCTACTCAACCCCAAGGGTACCCAGTATTTTATCGTCCAGACCCATGGCAGGGCCACTGGGCAGGACAGGGGAATGGGGGACAATGGATATTCTTGTTTTGTTTTGTTTTTTTAAAAATACAATTTATTTCAGGCTTACAGTAACCTTCAGAGCACTACTGTGCTCCATTTGTCCATCTGTGTTTGTCCAAATTATAGGCTACTAGGGTAGGCCCAGAAATCACTCCTGCACTGAACTCTGAAACTCAGTTCCCAGAAGACCAATTCCATGATACAGGTCAAGCTACAGATTAAACAAGAAAGTATTATTTATTAAGACGGTAAGCCTCATCCCTGACTAAAATGGGATGGGAGAAAGAGTGAGGAAAGAGGTTGGAGGAAACAAACTAGCCCAACGCTTTCAACCTTACCACCTAGTCAAGGTTTTAGCATTCCTGGGAGGTTTCAAGTTCTGGGCAGAGATAGTGGGATAGGAACAGCTACTTTTGTTCACATCTTCAAATATTCTCTTCCGTTTGCATGTTTTCTCACCATTCCTGGACCAGCCAGGCCCCTACTGCCCAAGTATTGGTCCTCTCCACAAATCCACCTACCTAATGTCTAGCAGTCTAGCTCCTCCTCCAGCCACACCACACTCACTCATCCCCTCTCTTCACACTGACTGCACCCAAAAGGCACTATACTAGGTAACCTGTGGTCACTGACGGCCTGAGAGGGTATGGTAGACAGGTCCTATCACCCCTACAACCAAGGACTGCAGGTCTTTTCCTCTCCTAGAGGGAGCTAAACAGGAGAACAGGAGAGGAGATGGGGATAGGGTATCCAGTCCAGAGGTATACAGCCCTCTAAAAAGCCCCTAAAAACAAGTCTTAGAATACCTAGCCAACAACGGCCCAAAACATTTCCAGCCCCATTCATTTCTTTCTCCGGACAATGGTCCAGCCATCTTCTACTATATCCTCTTCCTTAATAGTCTGAGAGTTTGCATCAGAAGTTTCAGGCTGCACAGCAACCACATCATTCGTAGATGTGACCTGTAGGGGAAATACAAGAGAGTGCTAAATACACTGGCCATTGGAGACCCAGTTTCTGCTCCCAACTTTTCAAGAATTGGCCATATGACCTATTCTTTAGATAATACCACCTAGAACAACCCCTCATCACTTCCCTGTGAGTCTATCTGTTCTCCCAGAAAACTGAAAACATTTGTATCCCCACACCCAAGGGGCATCCCCTTCACCTCCATCTCTTCCACACTGTCTGCGTCATCTTCATTCTCATCAGTCTCTCTGGCTGTCTTAAGTGCAGTGGCTGTGACTTTGTACTTTCTTTGGGTGATGTGGGAAGCCATCTCCTTCAGAGCAGCCCCATCACCCTTCTGGAAGTGGTGGAACATAGTCTGTAGCTGCTGACTCACCTACCAAGAAAACATTCAACAAACCTGGATTTTCTATAGAATCTACTATACAACCAGCATGTGTTTACAGCACAAGTAGGGAGGGGGTTGGAATTTTCCAGATGAGTATGGAGTTCTTTCCTAAGAAGTTCACCAATCAAAACAACTTCATATGAAGGGCTGTTGAGGCCCTGAAGCATTGAAGGAGGGCAGCCTAGCAGGAAGGCACAAGAACTGGGCTTTGAAAGACAGAAGATGTAAAAGGGAAAGTGGTTTCATCTGGGGATACAATGTCAACCAGAGCAGGGGTGGAATCTACCTAGCCCAAACTGCCAGTGGGAAAGGGGTGGGGAACAAGCCTGGATGGGAATGATGTATGGACAGAAATAAAAGGAAGGCAAGATTTAGATTTCTTCTAGCAACAGGGAGTCTTAGAAGGGTCTTGTGTAGAATCCAAAAGAATGGTTACAGCCAAGAGACTTGATACAAAACAGACAGCTGAGAAGAATAAAGACAACAATCAGGGAAATGGCAGTTGTATCCATGGTAAGCCTACCTGGGGCAGACTCCCATCCTCCACAATGGTATCAAACTCATTGGTCATCAGCTCCTCGAGGAAGTCTTCTATTTCATCTAGCTCCAAGTCAGCTGAATAGGAGAAGACAGGACCTTTTGGTCAAAGACCAGCCAAGTTCATTGCCCCTGCCCACAACTCTTCAATACCTACTTGGGTTCACACCTGGTTGGTAGTAAAAACCCCAAACAATGATCCTTTTATTCAAGAAAGTGCTCTCTTTCATCTAGACTATTCTAACTGGCTGCCCCTCTATGTGATCTTGAGCAAGCTACTTATACCTCTCCGGCCTTGTTTTCTCATTTGTAAAGTGGGGCCAAGAGTGGCTTCCAGAAGGTCTGTTATAAGCAGTGATCCAACACACTGCCTGACACAGAGAGATCCCTAATCCATGTTAATTTCCATCACTCAAGGGCCGAAGTTTTTGAAGCATTTTGAAGACCCTTCACAAGTGTGGCTCCACTGATACAGGAGACCACAGACCAATGGGATAGGTAAGAAATGGATATGTTATTTCCAATAATGAAATCATCACAACTTTGACACCAACATTCTATTGTGTGGCTCAGGTCATGCCCTCCTGTCTGGGCTTCAGGTATCTTGTAGTCCCATGATTTCTACCTTTTCTGAATTAGAGAATAACTCAAGAAAGTCTTCTACAAAGCTCTTCACCCTCTCTTCCTGCTATTTTCTCTCCTGAAAGAGCTTATCCATCCCCTTGCTTTTCCCTATCACTCAAACCTAATCTGTCTTCAACTAAGACTACCTGTGTGCCCAGATGTTTCCCAGGGGCCCCAGCCTCCCTCTCCCCTATACCTAAAGTCAGACTCATCACCTTACCCTGCAAACCTGCATCTCATCCTCCAGGATTCTGCTAGTCCATGAAAGGAACCTATTCCACCCAGCAACTCAAGCCAAAAACTAGCCTCTTTTTTCCTCCCTCCTCTATAGCCAAGCACTCTGTAATGCCTTAATCCACCCCTCCTTTTCCATGTTAGTGTCATTGCCCTACTTTAGTCTTCCTCATTTTCGAGACCAAAGCAGCCTTCGCATCACTCTTTCTCTCTTCAGTACATACTCTACACTACTTTCTGAACTTTTTAGTCAGCAAATCCCATCCTATTACTCACTTTAGAACCTGCACATGAATTTTTATCTATACTACTTACTGTAGTGTTTCATAGTTTGCCTTTGGGAAACATCTGTTCTGCTGGGTTTTAAGGGAAGCAATACATAGAAACAAAGGCAATTATGTTTCTCTTTACTGATTCTTATCCTTATTCATGCTTTGAAAACGTTCATGAGTGTTATGTGACTCAAGTTGGAGCTGAAGAAAAGAGTGTATATAATTTGACTGAAGCTTTTTCTTTAGTGAACCTCTAACTGGACACATCTTCCATAGTATGCATTTTGGCAAACACTGGCCTAAAAGATAAAATCAAAGGCACATAAGGCCTTCCATGTCTTATTTTTGGGGAGGAGGGTTTCCCTACCCGCCCCAGCTTCATCCTCTACCACTCTTCCACCCCCTACCTCCATAACCTTACAATACAGAGTCCTCTGTCACTTTCCAAATATAACACATTATTTCCTTATCCCACTAAATCATGGAGTGTTGCTTTCTCTGCCTCCAAAACCCAGTTAACTCCTTTTTCATCCCTTGAGACCCAGCCCCAGCACCCTTTCCCTGAGAAGCCTTCTCCTTTGGCTATTACCCGAAAAACTCTTAGGTCCTCTTTATCAGAACATTTATCACCCAGTGTTGTTAACTGTTCATTTTCTTGTCTGAATCCTTCACTAGGCATTAAACTTTAAGAAATAACTCTGCCACATGTCATCTCCAAGGCTTGAAAATGAAGAACTTTGTAAAAACCATAGTAGGCAACAGACCTCCTATTTTAATACATGTGCTGCCAAAGCAAGCATGGCAACAGGCCTCCTACAGTACTTGGCTGTTTGTTCTGTATAAACCTCAAGACAATCCTAAGGTGTAGATCGCTATTACCCAAATAGCCACCTGTGGTTGCAGAGCAAATGAAATGTGGCTAGGCCAACATCAGATGTGCCAAAACTGTAAAATAACAGACTTTTGAAAACACTTTAGTAAAATATTTCAATAATGTTTTATATGTATGACATTATTGAGATATTTTGGATATGAGTTGAATAACAGTTTCATTGGCTTTTCTTTTATTAAAAGTGAATGTTTCTTTGTTATTTTGTGGTGCTGGAGATGGAACCTAGGGCCTTGAGCATTCTAAGGCAAACACTACCCCTGGGCTACACCCCTGGCCCAACAATTAAGTTATATGCTATGACTCGTTCTACTGAACAGCGCTGGGACAAATACTTTCATATTCATTTTAGGAACTAGAAAACTGAATCTCAGGAAAATGAAATGCTTTGTCCAAGGCGATAGCATGATTCAGTGGCCCAGCCCGTACGGCGTTCAAAGCCAGAATTCTGACTCCAAATCCTGCATTATACTCACCTGGCCTTCAGGTACCGACTGAAATTGCCCAGGAGGAATTGCTATCTCTCCAGAATGGGGCTTTTCCTCTCCACGCCCAACACACAGATCGCAGCTACTCACACACACTTACCATTGCGGATGAAGTAATCTTCCACTGCACTTCCCAGCCACTCGGACTTCTCCTGGCTGTGCGCGCCCCCGAAACCATTTTCCACTGCGATCTGCAAACACAGGCCCGCGCCCACATCAGTTTGGTGACCGGTCTAGGGTGGCCCGGGAGTCTGCCGCTTTTGCCATCCCGCTAAGCATTATGCGCCTCACCCACCCAATACTTATTTTGGCCCGAGCCCTAAGCCTGATACCGTCAAGGCTTCACTCACCTGCAAAGCGGGCCAGGCCTCCAGCACCCCGCGAATCCCAGCTCTGAAGAGCTCCCGCACTTCTTCCCCAGCGCCCGCCATCATCCAGTCTAAAACCACGTGAAGCTCAGGCGGACCAATCCCTCCTCAGCTAGGTCCAGGCAGAATGAGTCGAAAGCCGCGCCTGAGAACACAGATTCGCTTTCCTGCGGACCTGGCAGTAAGACTAGAACAATAGAAATATCTACCAGAGCGATCGATGACAACATACTCACTTGTAGTAATTAAATCAAAGGACGTTAAACCCTAGCGGATATGTGAGGCTGTGGGTCCTGGGCAAGCAAAATGTGAGGAACTTATTACACAGGCAGGTTCCAATTCTAGGGCAAAGGACCCAGGAACATACCTTAAATAACACCTACGTTAGAACATGGCACCCGACAACAGAATACACATTTTTTTTTGCAGCAAAGATGATTTATTGAACTTCATAAAGGAAGTGTGACACTATCCACAACAAAATTATTTAACTTTAGATTTCATGAGGAAACATGTATTAGCAATATAGGTACTTTCAATAGAGCATTCTTATTAATATTCTGGAGTAGTTTCCTTTGCTGTTCTAAAGTTAAGATTTTCCAAAAATGAATAATAATTTCATTTAAAGATCATAGTTAAGGGCAGGGGATTTAGCTTAGTGTTTCCGCCGCCTGCCTCGCAAGCGCAAGGTCCTGAATTTGATCCCTGGTACAAAAAAAAAAAATCATAGTTAAATTCACAGATTTACAAAATATGTGATTTGTGCTTTAGATAGCCACCCTTTTTTGAAGTGAATTCAACAATGAAGTGTTTTATAAATATTTTGGAATACATCTAAAAGCTTTATCTCCATTCAAATAAGTATCATCTTTTAAAAAATAAAAATATATGTACTAAAAATTAAAATGGTAAGTTGTTACAAATGAGATATAAATATTTTAAAATTAATAAATGTTAACGTGAAAAATAAGCCCTTTCATAGAACTGTTAAGGATACTTCTATACAAAAAGGTTAAATTACGTGGTGTTTTTGTTCTTTGGTTTGTTTTGAGACAGGGTCTCCCTAAGTCTAAAATTCCCCAGGCTGGGCTGAAACTTGATCGTCCTACTTCAACCTCCCAGAGTGCTCTGATTAAAGGCATGTACCACTAACGGTCTCATATTGATTGATTGATTGCAGTACTAGAAGTTGAACCCAGGGACTTTTGTACTAAGATACATCCCCATCCATTCATTCATTCATTCATTTTATTTTATGTTTGTTTGTTTGTTTCGGTACTGGGAATCGAACTCAGAGCCTCACAATTGCCAGGCAGGCACTGTGCTGCTGAACTACCTCCCTGGCCCTAGCCCTTTATTGATTTTTTTTAGTCTGAGACAGAGTCTTACTAAATTGCTAGGTTTCTCAAGCTGGGCTCAAACTTTTCAATCTTCTGGCCTCAGCCTCCCAATGTACTGAGATTACAGGTGTGCACCACCATGACTGGCCAAGATAGAATAGTAGACATTTTGTATATTTTCTTTTCTCTAACATATTATAAACTTTCTACATTATTAATGTTCTCTCGCTTCTCTCCCCACCACCCCATACTGGGACTCAAACTCAGGACCTTGTACTTGACAGGTAGGCTTTGTGCCATTGAACTAAATCCCCAGCCCTACTAATGTTCTCTTGTAGTAGTCATATACCATGACTTTTTTTAACCTGACCCATTGTTGGATGCCTAAACTGCTTCCAATTTTTCACTATACTAAAAAACATTGCAACCCGGGCATGGTGGTGCATGCCTGTAATCCCAGCACTCAAGAGACTAAGGAAAGAAGATTGCTGCAAATTTGAGGTCAGCCAGACTACATACATAGTGAGTTGAAGGCCAGCCTGAACTACATAGTAAGATCTTGTCTCAAAACAACAAAACATAAAACCCAGAATATCCATTGCAATGCACCACCACACCTATCTAAATTATGTTTTTAAAAACCCATACGATAGTGGGCTGGGGACTTAGCTCAGTGGTTCCACTGCCTGTCTCCCAAGTGCAAGGACCTGAATTGGATCCCCGGTCCAAAAAAAAAAAAAAAAAAAAAAAAGAAACCGCTGAATATGCCCCCCCGAAAAAAAAAAAAAAAAAAAAAAAAAAGCCCGTATAATAATGAAAAAACAGATGGGTTTACAAAGTCAATAAATTTTCTTCCTCCACTTTAAAAAATGACTTGAAAAGCAATAAATGCTTTCTTTTCTTTAAAAAACTCATACCAATTACAATTATTATATCTGTGGTTGCTTTGCTATAAAAATAGTTACAAATCAATGTCAGTTTATTTTCTTCAGTTTTGATTTTTTTATTAGGACATGTTTGCATTACATACTGATTACTTTCCTTGTGGGGAGTTGGTACATATACATAAAAGATCTCAATTTTGTTCTTTCATCCCCTTTCCTTTTCATCACTCCTGTCTACCTCCACTCTTGGTCCCCTTCCCATTTGAACAAAGTCTATCTCCCTACTTCTACTACCTCTTACTTTAGTGTCTATTTATATTTTGGGTTTCTCATATAAAAGAAACCATGTAGTGTTTAACCTTGCAGGTCTGATTTATTTCAATTAACATTTTTGTCTCCTGGCGCATTAATTTTCCTACAAACCACTCAAATTTATCCTTTCTGACAAAGTATATTTCCATTGTGTGTAATTACAACAAATTTTTCATCCGTTCATCTGTTCATGGACATGTAGGCTGTGTCCAAGATGAATTGTACTGCTATAAACGTAAGTATGCACACATAACTGTTATGTAATGCCTTCAATTCTTCCAGGAAGAATACCAGGGGGAATACCTAGGTCAATTGGAATTTCTAGTTTTAGGTTTTTGAAGAATCTCCATACTAATTTCCATAGTGGGTGCATCCGCTTACACTTCCACCAATAATGTAGAAGGGCTTCTTTCTCCCTGCAGCCTCATGAGCATTCATTATTTGATTTCTTGATGATAGCCATTCAATGTGGAATGAGATGGATTTCCAATGTTGTAGTAATCTGCATCTCTCTGAAGGCCAGTGATGTTGCATACTTTTCATTTATTGACCATTTGTATTTCTTATTTAAATGTCTATTCATTTCAGATGTCCACTTTTTAAACTAGGTCTTTTATTTTGAGGGGGGTCTCATTTTTTCAGTTATTTATATATTCTAGGTTTTAGTCTTCTGTCTGAGGAATAACTGGAAGAAACTTTTTCACTCTGTAGGTTGTTTCCTCTCTCTGTTGGTTATTTCTGTTTCTGTGCTATACTATGCTGTGTGATATTTTGTTGGTATTATGATCCCATTTGTTGATTCTTTGTACTATTTCTTGTGTCATTTGGGATTCTGTTCAGAACCTTCCCTATGCCCATGTCTTCCACAGTTTTATGTATTTTATCTTCCAGTGGAGTGTTTCTGTTTTAACATTTAGGACTTTCATCCACTTTTAGTTTAGTATAGGGTGAGATACATGGGATCTAGATTCAGTGTTCTGCATGTAGAGAGCCAATTTTCCCGGAACTATTAATTAAAGAGGCTATCTTTTCTCCAGTGTACGTTTTTGGCTCCTTTGTCAAAGATCAAGTAGCTGAATGTGCCTGGGGTTATTCCTGCATCTTCGATTCTGTTCCATTGATTCTTGTGTCTGTTTTTTTATATCAGAGCCATGCTGCTTTTATCACTGTATCTTTGGAATATAACTTCAAATCTAGCCTTGTGATGCCTTCTGTTTTGCTCTTGTAATCCAGAATTGCTTTTGCTATTCCGGGTCTCTTCTGGTTCCATATGAATTTTAAGATAGTTTTCTCTAGTTCTGTGAGGACTTCTGTTGGTATTTTGATTGGAATTGCATTAAATATGTATATCTATTTTGGAATTTTGTTTGTTTTGACTATGTTGCTTCTACCTATCCAGGAAAATGGGCTGGCTATCTTTCCATTTTCTTATGTTCTCTTTGATCTACTTTTTCAGAGTACTATATTTTTCCTTATAGAGATCTTTCACTTCCTTGGTTAGGTTAATTCCTAAGTATTTCCTTTTTTCTTGTTGCTATTGTGAAAAGTATTGTTTTCTGAATTGCTACACTACTAAATTTGGGGTTATCTATGTAAAGGATCATGTCATCTGCAAGTAATGATAATTCAAGTTCTTTCTTTTTCTATACATGTCCTTTTTATTTATTTCCCTTACCTGATTTCTCTGGCTAATATTTTGAACACAGTATTGAAGAGGAGTGTGACAGTGAAAATACTTGTGTTATTACTGATTTTAGATGGATTTTATTTCTGTTATTAGAAGGTCTGTCAAGTTGAGGTAAGATCCTTCTATACCTGTTTTCTCAGGGTTTTTGTCATAAATGGATGTTTGATTTTGTCAAAGGCTTTTTTTGTAACTGTTGAGATGATCGTGATTTTTGTCCTTGCTTCTGTTTATGTGATGTTTTATATTTGTTAAGTTGTGTATTTTAAACCATCCTTGCACTTATGGGATGAAGGCAACTCACTTATGGTGCATGATCTCGTTAATAATTTGTTATATTATGTTTGTTAGTATCTTGTTGAGAATTTTTGCATCTATGTTCATTAAAGAGATTGGCCAGTAGTTCTCCTTTTTGGTTGGATCTTTGTCTGGTTTTGGAATTGGGATAATGCTAGATCCCAGGAATGACTGTGGGAATCCTCCTTCCCTTTTGATTTCATTAAAGAGTTTGAGGAAAGCCAGGTGTGGTGGTGCATGCTTGCAATCCCAGCACTCCGGAAACTGAGGCCAGCCTGGGCTATATAGTAAGTTCAAGGCTAGCCAAAACTACATAGTGAGACCCTGTTTCCCAACAAATTAAGAATTTGGGGGATATTGGCATTAGATCTTACTTGATGTTGTTACACAATTCAGCAGTGAACCCATCAGGACTGTACTTTTGCTAGTTGATAAGTTTTTATTACTGCTTCAGTTTCACTTCCTGTTATTGGACTATTCAAGGTTTTTTATATCTTCTTGGTTTAGTTTTGGCAATTCATACTTATCTAGGAATCTGTCCATTTCTCCTGAATTTTTCAATTTATAGGCATATAGATTTGTAAAAT